TATTTAACACATAGTGAGAACTGCTGCTATTTATCTCTCAATATTGTCTGTAAAAAACGTGGTAAAAGTGATTCTTTCAGTGAGACAACAGAGCAAGCTTCTACAGTTGCACTACGTTTTGATAACAGTTCAATATTATTTTGATAATAACATATATTTCAATGTTGATGAACTTCATACTGTTCATTCATAATCTGATTGTCTTTGTAGCTCACTGTTGAAATAAAAAAAAACATTACAATTACAAAATAATTATATCTACAGCCCCTAAACACACAAACACACCGCTTTCATAAATAACACACTTGTTCTGCAATAATATGTTTTATGTTTCCTGTCATTTTTGTTAGGAAAAGGACATGCCTGAAAGACACGACATGTTCTCCTTCTCTGAGGGTCAAGAAGAACATCCAAGAGGAACATTAAAAGCTGATGTTATGAGATTTTAAGACCAGTACAGGACATTCACTAAGAAACTACTTTTATTGTAAAAACAGTCAGCTGATCGAATGCAGCTATTTCCACATCTACACTCCATCAGCTGATTATTTCTATTTGCCTCACTTTATGAGCTTCACAACATGTACCTTGTTTTGCAACGTCACAAATAAATGGGGCCAATCTTCAGTCAGATGTGAATGTGTAATCTAACATTTTCAGTAAGAATAATGGACAAAAGGAGTGCAAATACAAATACAATTTATTGAAATGTGAACCAAAAGCACATATGGACAGAAGGTGTAAACCTATTAAATGTATAAGTAAACATATTTAGTCAAATAAAGTGACAGACTAGGCCTGCGCAGTTGGTATCAGCTATGCCCAGCATGGGCTCCTCCATCAGGCCTGGTCCTCCTCGCAGAGGAAAGACCCTCAGTCCTCTCCAAACCAACAGACAGGACGTCCATCACACGGAGGTTTCTCCCTGAAGTCTCTGCAGCTCTCTGGACACCACGCTGTCTCAATCCGTCCACACTGAATATGAGAGGGGGAAAATGAAAATAATAAATGCTTTAGACAATAAGAAACATAAAGTTGACTGTTGAGTTGCTCAGTTTTTTTAGATTGTCAATACTATTACTACATAACTAATATCTCAGGTTAAGAGGCACATTCAAATAAAGATTGGTCTTTAAATACATTTTATCTTTTGAATTGTTTGTCTAAAGTCAAGGATCTATAACTGGTACTTAGTTTTAATGATACAGTCTGGTTATTATGCTGTTTGGAGGAGGCCTCACAGGTAAGAGCACTAACTAGCTACCATCACATGTACCTTAGCTTGACTTAAATGTATTAAACGTATAGTTAAGTGATATCAAAATATAAATAACTAATGTCATGCAAACATATTAATATTTGCTTGATTCCAGTGTTGAATTTAGCACAATTGCATACAAACGTTAAGGGGTTTTAAGATTCTGAAGTATTATGCTAAAAACTCAATAACTTAGATTATTATTTATAGTTGCATGTCCGCTTACCTTAGAAACGTAAATGTTAGCTTAGCTTGGTAAATTTCTGGAAATTTCAGCTCGGTGGCAGCAGGTCCCGCCTCGGCTCCGCCTCTTTGCCCTTATTTGGAGAAGGCGGGAGTTGAACTCTAACGTGACTGTCGAGCCGTTAGTGGCCGACTCCGCCTACTAAGGGCTTCACGGCAACTCTGCAGAATCCTATGGGTGACGTCACGGACCCTACGTCCATTTATATATACAGTCTATGGGTGGGACACAATAAATAAAGCTTCGCCAGTTTGTTTGTTTTATTGCACAGTCAAGACATAACAATAACGGCATCACGCTGTTCCAGGTGTGTCGTATGCATGTAAATTGAAGTTAAATAAACGTGTGAAATGTAAAATAAAGTGTAAGTAGTTTCAAAACAATGTAACAGTGGCAATATACATAGCAGCAGAGCAGACACACCTTAGTGCAAGTTAGGTGTCAGTATTAAAAAACAGTGGCAATATATAATAACAATAGAAAATCGTTACCACTCTTATTATTGTGGTCTTTAATTTTTTTATAGTCCTGCCTGAGTTTCTTTATTTTTACCCGGCATCCGTGTGCACTGTGCACGATTCCCAGCTCAAGTAGCTTTTGCGAACATCGCTCAAAACATTTGGAGTTAGGAACTGCTTTCTGTGGAAGCTGCTGCATCCCGTCCTCAGAGTAAATTGCCAGAAGCGCCGACACTTCCTCATCATTCCACCGCTCCGGTGTTGTAGTACGTGTGGTCATAACTGCTTTAAAGTACAAAAAAAACGACTCGCTCAGGTGTGGATGTGGTTTTGTAGCGAGGAAAAAAATGGCTGCCTAACAAAATAAAATCAGAGTCTAAAGGGGCGTGTTTTGCAATTCGCCCAGCCAATAGAAATAGAATAGAAATTGGCACTCTTTTATCACCAGGTTCGTACCACCTCTCTAGCAGGGACTGAAAATGGCCAAAAGAGTTCCCGGCACTGAGTAGTCCCGGCGGTGTGAACGCGACATTATTGGTACTAACGGAACTAAAGAACCAAAGTACCAGGGAAAGTCCTGCGGTGTGAATGCGGCTATTATCACCTCCTCCACCGGCAGCGCTCATTTTCCCACACGACTGAACAGGCTGACATGCCACACAAACAATGATGCCGCGCCCGCGGCCCACCGGAGAAAATCTCACACACACGTGCGAGCATTGTGCCTGCCCTGTCAACTGAGCGGTCCTAGTGCCCTTCCCATACAGCACACAAACACACAGGCCAGACACACTGCATTGCGCGCAAACAGAAACATATTTTTTATTTTTCCCTTTACACGGGAGTCCGGGACAAACAAAGTCCCGTACAGGACACGCCCCTTTTGGCTCAAATACGGGACGTCCCGGCTAATACGGGACGGTTGGCAACCCTAATTGTAGGGCCACACCTATACAATTTATGTCTGTGAAGTTGTTTGCTTAAAATACCAAACAGATCACCCATTGTAGCATGCCTCATACCCCTCTATTCCAGCCCTGTTCCAAAAAGGCTGATTCTGTGACCATAGCTTTAAATGGAACAGCTGCTGCTAGCCACGCCCCTTTGTAGCGTCACACAGCTTTCCCCTGCTAAGAGAGTTTTCTACCGGGAGAAACTCAGCTAAACGCTGCCGTGATTAAATGCCATATTATGTTCCAAACCACATCAAGCATTATTTCTGAAACAGTATGGAGCTCAAATGTTTCTCTCTCTCGGTTTACCACAACGACATTACGTTACACATATTCTCTCCAGTACAGCGTTAGCTCTGAGTGTTAGCGATGCTTGCTAATGTAAACACAGACCATATTACTCCCAAAACACGTTGCTCATTGTTTCTGATCAGGGTTGGGTTGTAACGAAATACATGTAACGGCGTTACGTAATCAGAATACACAAATCAAGTAACTGGATTCAGCTCGCGTTATATTGGAAAAATGAGTTATCTGATTATAGTTACTTTCGTAAACCTGAAGTGAATACATTTTGGAATACTTATTGGAATTATTGGTGGAAAGGTTTCCTCACAAAATGTAATATTCATTACCGGCAGATCTGTGTGCACACTGCACGGCGCTGCAGCATGTCTGTGAGCGCGAGAGAGAGAGAGGGAGAGAGAGGGAGAGAGAGGGAGAGAGAGGGGAGAGAGAGGGAGAGAGAGGGAGAGAGAGAGATGCAGCGTGTCTGTGAGGCCCCGCCCCCGCACGCAGATGAGAGAGAGAGATCTCTTTTAAAATATATTGAAAGTTAGAAACAGAGATGGTTAGATCAAATGTGCAAGATAACGTTTATGTAGCATTTCTTTATTGTGGAAATGATGACATTTCATAACGGGGTAACATCAAAGTGAATGGCCTGCTGCTGCTGAATGCATGGGGCAAGTGACTGGAAAAAGTTTTTAAAAGTTATTACATTCGTTTTAGATAAATAATAATAATAATAATAATAATTCATTCTATTTAGAGGCGCCTTTCAAATCACCCCAAGGACACCCTTACAATTCATAACATATTCTAAGGAAAGGTTTAAGTCAGTACAAAGGACTGTAACAGGGAACATGTTGGGAAACAGGAGACATGTAGCACTACAGTGAGTAGGCTGATCTGAACAGGTGGGTTTTGAGGAGGGACGTGAATGTGGTGTGTCAGACTGTCGGATGTGAAGGGGGAGAGAGTTCCATAGTTTGGAAGCAGCTAAAAGCCTGAGCTCCCATCGTGAATAGGCGTGGGGTGGGGACGGTTAGCAGGCCAGCAGAGGAGAAGCGGAGGGAGAGAGGTGGGTGTAGGAGGTCAGCCAGATAGGTGGGGTTCAGGTTGTGGAGGGGTTTGAATGTGAGCAGGAGGGTTTGGAAGTCTATCCGGTATTTTACAGGTAGCCAATGCAGATGGGTGAGGATGGGGGTGATGTGGTCAGAGGATGGGGGTGATGTGGTCAGAGGATGGAGGTGATGTGGTCAGAGGATGGGGGTGATGTGGTCAGAGGACTTTGTGCGGGTGATGATCCGGGCAGCAGAGTTCTGAATGATTTGGAGTTTATTGAGGAGTTTGATGGGAAGACCTGAAAGCATGGTATTACAATAGTTAATATGGGATGTGAGGAATGCATGAACCAGGACTTCAGTGCGGATTGAGACAGGGCGGAGTCTGGAGAAGAATGCAGTCCGGGTGATGTTTTTTACAATTTAAGACTAATAAATGAACACTGAAAACTCCTGTTTTTTTTGCATTAAGTCATACTGGGATGTTTGCTGAAATTGATTGCATGTGGCACAGCCCTACCTAGAGAAGATTCCACCAGCCACCACTGTAAACTGTTTAGTTTTAAAGCAAACACGTTGATATTTAGAGCAATAAGCTTGTGTGCTTGGACTCACTCGGGTGTACAGTGATGCTTCTTTGACTTATTCCCTGGTTGTCATTAACATGCCATCACGCTTGGTTCTGATTCTGATGGTAAAATAAAGACGTTGGGTGACGTTGGGATTGAAAGAGGAAGTTACCTGTCAGGCCCCAGCCGGGTGATCACGCAGGCGGTTAGGCCTCTTCTCCCGCCGGCTGCCCACCTGTGGCAGACAACACGGCTGCAGTGTGAGGGTTGAACGCCACACAGCTTCCCTCTGTGCCTTTGAGCCGCAGCAGGGGCGATGTCGTGCTCCCAGCCCTGACTGTGGTACTTCCTGTGGATAACGATGCGTTCAGGTGACAAGGTGCGTTCAAAGTCATCCTGCTCCTCGGTTATGGTAGTCACCAAGGCGCACCACGTAGCGGGGTTGGGTCACTGCCAAATCTGGAGGAGCAAAGAAAGGTAGGTTTTGATTATCATTTAATATTAAAGTAAAGTTTACTAACAATGCAGGCACAGAGAAGAACCATTAAATTTAACATGATAAGGCATCACAACACTGCGCAAAAGGTTAAGCAGCAGAAAGAGTCCTTTGGATTTCTCATATTTATAGTGGACCTCAACTAAAAAACAGTATTTAAAATTGAAATATATTGTTTCAAAATGATATTACCAAAAATTACATATTATATTGTTCCATGTCAACATTATGTGTTTAACCCAACTGAAAACATTGAAAGGTGTCCACCAGAGGGGCGCTGTCCACCTACCTCTTGAAGCAGTGAGCGGCCGTCAGCAGCCCAGCAGTGTCCGATTCAGAGAGGCCCCGCACAGAGGGTTGGCCCCTCTGGACTGAGAGCGCAGCCACACTGACAACCTGCCATGGCCACTCCCTACACACACCTACACACACACCACACACACACACACACACACACACACACCACACACACACACACCACACACACACACACACACACACACACACACACACACACACACACACACACACACACACACACACACACACACACACACACACACACACACACACACACACACACACACACACACACACACACACACACACACACACACACACAATACATCTTGTTTTGTTTCTTTCTGTAGATTTGTTTTGTACTGTATTGCATTTGATGTTATTGATTGTACCATTTGTTTAATACATTTGATCACAAAAAAGAAAGTGTGTGCCTTAATGTTATATGATATGTGAATTATATTAAACCAAATTATTTGGCACATAGTAGCAGTATCTTAGCCGTCCAATATCAGCATCTTTTTATTTCCCGTCATTACTGAAGCATTGTGCCTGGTTCCTCTGTGGAGAAGGTGGTAAGCCAAACAGCTCTCTGCACCCTCACTACGAGGGGGACCCAAGTTCCCATCAGCAAAAACACGTGGGTTTGCTGTCCTGGCTCCAAGATGGTGGAATGAGCTCCCCATTGACATCAGGACGGCAGATAGCTTACACATCTTCCGGCGCAGACTGAAAACTCATCTCTTTCGACTCCACTTCGAGCGATAGAATTGCTAACATAGAATTGCTAACAGAGCATTTATATACTAATAAAGGACTGGCTTATCTAAGCCAGTTGAGTAGCACTTGAAATGTTTGGCTCTATGAAACCTGATGTACTTATATGATTCTGTTTTCTTCAAGGTTGTGTCTTCCTGGTCGAATGTACTTATTGTAAGTCGCTTTGGATAAAAGCGTCAGCTAAATGAAATGTAATGTAAGAGGGATATGGAGGCGAGAGAGGAAGCGCATCTTTGTCAGCAGTACTGAGCTTCTGTCAGTCAGAGGGCTTTGGGCGAGTTAACATGTGAGAATAATTTACCGAAATACACTTCATTTATTTCATGTGTCAATAATTAACTGTCATGCAGCAGTTTTTGAACAACCCCATGGGTTTGTTTGAACTACATACATTTGAACAACCCTTTAAACTGTCACAAATATACATATAATTAATTATCCTAGCTATATATTTATTTAAAAATCACCAGAATCGGCAGCTTGCCCTTTTATTAATTTGGGCCCCTGCTCCTCTACAATCCACTGCAGGTACCTGCTACAGGGTGTGTGTGTGTGTGTGTGTGTGTGTGTGTGTGGTGTGTGTGTGTGTGTGTGTGTGTGTGTGTGTGTGTGTGTGTGTGTGTGTGTGTGTGTGGTGTGTGTGTGTGTGTGTGTGTGCACTGACCTTAGGGACTTATCCCCCCCTATGATCCTGCGGCGCCTCCTCTGGTTGTTGAGCCTCAGGCCACAGGTCTGCAGGGCCCCGGCCCCCAGAGGGTCCAGGGTGTAGTCGCAGATGACCCCGGCATCCTCACTGTGGCGGCAGTCATGGGCGTCCTGAGCCGCAGCCGCACACTGGCCTAAAGACGTCTCTGTGCCCGAGCAGCGCACGTTGTCCAGGTGGATGGGACCCTGACCTTCTCCAAAGTACGCCATGGAGCGAGCTTTAGCCACACCGCTGCAGTTCAGGGCCACACACAGCATCTTAAGAATCTTTCACGTTTTAAATATAAATGCAGTTTGACATTACTTTCTCAAATCTCAGGGGCACTGAAGTGAATGTATTTCATTGTGTCTGCTGACTGTGATCCTACCTTCTCATGTGTTAATTCCAGTGCTGGGCAGCGATAATCATTTTAAATCTCGATTAATCGCATTGTTATGAGCAAAATTCAATAAGTGGTGTATTGCACACCTTTATTTAAAAAGTACTGCTATATGAACAAAAGTGCAATAACATTGGGTTTGCAAACACTTTAAACAATAAGGTGCTTTTTCACAGCACTATTCCGTACACAGTAGCAGTTCAAATATTTCAGGTAAATCTCAACTTCAACATTAATTCATGTAATCAAATCAAATATAAACCAGTATAAACCATCTCGTTTTTATCTTTAAAAAAAAAGAAGCTTTATATTGACTGTCATGTGAAATCTGTTTTCAAATCTTCCTTTCTGCATAATTTAATTAACTTTTATCCTTGCTTTATTTCATCCCAGTTAGATGACAGCAGTTTGCTGTATTTCTGAGAACAGTTGTATCCAACAGGATGGAAAAAGTCAGAGGACTAACATAAGTCATTAAGACAGAACATAAACGTTTGAACCAAATGTTATCCTATCCAGTAAATTGCCAAGACATTTTGATCCTTTTCCTGGACTAAAGACGTCAACCTGCTGTGTTGCGAACTGGCAGCTCAGAATCATCACCTATTGATTGTACACAGCCAGTCTTCTCCCTGACAGAGACTTCTGAATCCAAAGTTCATTCTATCATTTCTTCTTTAAACAATTCCAAATCAAAAGACCCTTTTGGACAGGATTCTGTTTCTAAAGAAACATGCTACCACTCTCACAGGGACAATTACCAAAATAATTAACACCTCTTTTAGGAACATTCCCAAAAGACTGGAAGTTAGCCATTGTTGTGCCAGTCCACAAATCCAGGGACACAACTGATGCAAACAACTATAGGCCCATTAGTATTTTACCTGTCATGTCTAAGATCTCTGAGAAATGTGTAGCTGAGCAATTGACTGGACATCTTAACAGTAGTCCTTTCACACTACACCCCATGCAATTCGGCTTCCGAGCCAATCATTCCACTGAGACCGCACATTGTTTCCTTGTGGAAAATATGAAATCAAAAATGGACAAAGGAGGCATTGTTGGAGCAATCTTCTTAGATCTTAAGAAAGCTTTTGATACAGTCAATCATCAAGTACTCATTCACAAAATGTCTTATTTTAATTTCTCACCCAGTGCAATAGACTGGATGAGCTCCTATCTGTCAGACAGAGTTCAGTGTGTAAGGGTAAGTGGCGAGACATCACCACCCCTGAGGAATGAACTGGGTGTACCCCAGGGATCTATCCTGGGCCCAATTCTATTCAGCCTTTATATAAATGACTTGCCATCAGTGTGCACTGGATGTGAGGTGCAAATGTATGCTGATGACACTGTCATTTATGTCCATGCAAAAACCAAGGCTCAAGCTGCGGCCAAATTAAATGATGCAATGGTTCATGTAAATCAATGGCTTACTGACTCACAGCTATATCTGAATGTTAAGAAGACAGTCTGTATGTTTTTTAGCAAGACCAACACTGTATCACACTGTGAACCCAAGGTCTATGTGTCTGGGGAGGTCATTCAAACAGTTACACATTTTAAATATCTAGGCATTATCCTTGACACTACTCTATCCTTCAAAAAACAAGTGAGAAAGGTAATGCAAATAACTAAATACAATCTAGCAACCTTTAGATATATAAGGAACTGTTTGACAACACCTGTAACAAAACTCTATGACTGCCATGATCCTTCCCCACCTAACATACTGTATGAGTAGCTGGACCCAGGTGAACCACACTGTAAAAACCAACCTATAAGATCTACTCAATAAAATGGGGGTAACAATTTGCACACACTTCTTTTGAGTAGATTTTACCAATGTTTTTGGGTAAAGGTTACTAATATTTAATATATAAGACTTACTTTAAGAAATTAAGTAAAATCTAACTCAATTACTTAAAACATATTATATATAAATGAGTAATATTTACTCTCAATCATAGGCAGCTGGGTAAAGGTTACTAATATTTAATATATAAGACTTACTTTAAGAAATTAAGTAAAATCTAACTCAATTACTTAAAACATATTATATATAAATGAGTAATATTTACTCTCAATCATAGGCAGCTGGGTAAAGGTTACTAATATTTAATATATAAGACTTACTTTAAGAAATTAAGTAAAATCTAACTCAATTACTTAATGAAACGTATTACTTATAAATGAGTAATATTTACTCCTAATCGTAGGCAGCTATTTACTTAATAATTGATCTATATTACACATTAATATTACTTTATTAGTAAGGTTACCAGTAAACAATATATTGCCCACACACAAGATTTTATTGATCATGTTTTTTTTAATTGACCAAATGTATAAGTGCAATATGGTCATACATTGAGATTATTTAAAACAGTTAAGTGCATTTCAATTGTTAACACTAAGCAGAATCTTCAAAATAGTCACAATCACATTGTTTTAACAGTAAAGTGCATGGAAATTGTAAACATTTTTAACATAATCTTCCAAGTGCAATTTATTCAACTATTAAAACCTTTGAGTGCCAGTAAACAGTCCACTTTTAACAGAAAAAGGTTTCTCCACATCCATTACATTCCACATCTCATTATGTTGTGTTTGTGTCACTCGGCACTAAAACAAGTCAACATCCACTTCAGAACAAATTGTTTATTTGAGGCTCTGGACCTGTTTGAGCAGCTTGTTTCCATCAAGCTCCAAAAACTGTTTTTAGAATACCTCAAATGTGTATTTGAGCTTGTTGGGGTATTCCAGGTTGAGGGCGTAGATGAATTCCATCAACTATGCACATGCCTTTGTTTGGTTTCCGCACAAAACTCTGTCTCCCTCTATGACAATGGACACATCTGCTGGTCCCCCCTGTCCCTGGCATCATGGATCACAAGCACCTTCATAGTTTGGTCCACGACGTTGTCATGCTCGTCCTCCATGTTGAAAAGAAAGAAAGAAAAGCATATTCACTTTAAATTAGGCATATTAACAAGAAGCTATTATACAATATAGGCTTTGTGGTCTAGCATTAAGCCTAATCAATAAAACCAGGGATTGACTTTTTTTTAATGATTTGTAAAAATGTGTTGCAGCGATTAAAAACAAAACAAGATTTCTAACTTATATAAAAAATGTCAGGCCCAGTCAAATTGCCCATCGATCTAATCAATGACATTACATTGATTCTTTCCCATGAACATAACTTTTCAGTGCATGATTTTATTTATCTTATTTCACTTTAACACCAAAAGAAGGTTTTTGTTTTTTGGTAGTTGTATATGTTAAGTAGCTAAGCACATCAGTACATTATCCCTAAATCATGTTCCTGTGAATGCTAAACCATTTATAAAAACAATAAGATGTTTACAGATTTACAGCAATAAATTGCATATTTATTTGTTAGGTGTAAGAGTGGTTAATCACAGAAATTAAACCATGGTATCAGAGCGACCTCCGAAATAACTCCGTTAAAATCTTGAAGTGATCAGTCTTTAACGACATACCTGGCTGTCTTGAAAAAGGTCTTCTTGGCGTTCCCCAAGGTCTTCAATCAGGCACCTGGCCACTGCATCTCTTTTTCCCAACACTCTGGGGCCTGTGAGGAAATGCATTTTAGTGACAAGACTTATTTCTGCATTTTCATATTCTTGAATGAAACATTTAAATAAATGTGCCTCATCAATTGTGCTCAGAAGAGGGCGCATCCTGGAGCCAGCATCTCCTCCTTTGGCACGCATCAGCTGGAGCGAGTGGTGTTAGTGTACCCATCCAGTTTCAGCATCAAAGTCTCTTCCAGTGAAAGAGTTGTTATGTGTCGGAACTCCTCCTTGATCTAATAAAGAGCATAGGGGACAACACTCATTACTCACAACAGTGAGTTGAAATGGAAACAAATACACGTAACGTTCTCACCTGAGCCTCATTGAATAAACCAGGCCCATCTCTCCTTGAAGACACTGACACGTGGGCTGAGGGTCACCACCTCCACTCCACTACGAATTGTCTGCAGGATTTAAAATGTATAGGACTTAGGTGCCGTCTCTGAGGATGTTACACTTATATTCACATTTCTTACACTGAACATTACCAACAAAATAACACAATTAAACATTTTTATGTAGAAAAATCCTAAAATATATAACAATGAGCTTTGGCTCTGCTCCGTGGTAATCTCTCCAGTCCTCACGATAATATACAGTAAGCTTTATGTAAACATAAGTCTATAGGCTATTGCTGCAGCTATACCTCAAAAAAGACAAATTAATCATAAATCATTATTACTGTGGCTTGGCAGAATATACGATGGTTATTTTTCACTAAGAGATAGTCGTAGTAGTAGTAGTTGTCTCAGTATTTATCGTTTCATGCACGCTCATATGAATACAGACACACGAGGAAACTGACGGCCGACGTTAGATAGACTGAGAGAGATGCTACAAGCTAGCTTCAACTTAGTTAGCCTTGTGCATCATTTGAATGTGTCCCCCGCAAACCGTTACTGTACTCAATACTACTCAACCGGGTCAGAGACAGAGTTCGTCATATTACTTGAACTGACATGTTATTTAATAAACGGCTACTGATTTTTGCAGTGTGCATCACCATTGGATACTGTGTGGAAAATAACATTGGACAAACACACCTTATATAGAGGACGACCAACTTCAAAGGTTGATTTAAACGAATGCCGCCTTCCGCGCGCTGTTCTTGTTAGTACTTAGCTAGCAAACAATAGCCTTCTCTGCTAAGCATGCACGATGCTGACGTGAAACACAACTTGGCTGGTTAACTTACATTAATATACAACTGTCGCCGTGACGCTTAACTCATTTCACACGGCATGCCGTCA